TCGTCATCCACACCCAGCTCATTTCTGCTCGCATTCAGGCTCTCCACTTGTTCTCTAAAGATCCTTATGATCTAAGAATACATTAATAAATGTCATTCATATGGACATTTTTAGAGTACTGGTGTTTCCCCCATTACCACACACATTAAAATGGGTGTTGAAAAAATGACCTTTAGATATCTCTGGCTCAAAGTGCGGCCCAGTTGTTCCACTTTCCTTTTGTTCCAGCCCAAAGCCAGGAGGCTCAGCATGTCTGTTCGCCCTGCATTTCAGTTAGTATACAAATAAGAATGAATGAGCAGGAGACTGAGTGGAATCTCACACACAGACACACACCTGCTTTAGACATGTACTTCGTTGTGATGGCCGCCCTAGACAGGAAACTGTTTACTTGTTCCACCTCTTCTCCAACTGTAGAACCGGCCCCATCCTGAAACGCACCTCCCATTTGATCTATAGAAAGGAGGTCACAATACATGACTGCTGAATTCATTCAACCTTATAACAAAATGTCTTAAACGTATCCAAGACTACAAGCTGCAGTATACCTCGCACATCCAAGTGTGAGCTACTCAAAATGAAGTACACATTAAGATAAAGTCAAGTAAATAGTATTACGACAACACCAAGAGAAAACAAAATAAATATCCACCCATCCAAATATGTATCCACACACACACACGTATGAGTATATGGTTATGGCGTTAACGTCATTTTAACAAGATTAACGCTGACAGCACTGATATATATGTGTATCTTACATCATTTGTGTGTCTCTGGATGTATTTCACAAACTCAGCAACTTCCTCATCTTTCTCAATGAAGACACCTTCAAAGTTCCCTGCTCTGAAGTGCTGAACGAACACGGTGACAGTTGTTTGAAAAGAAACATCAAAATACAATTTTTGTACAAATCCATATTTGATTTATGTACACAATGCATAACGTACCTTGCATTTGATGAAAGCGATAAAGCTTGCAGTTTCCATCAACTGAGACGGCGAGCATGTCTGGAGTGCAGGCAGGGCAGCTAAAGCATGGCTCCTTGCACATCCTGTCCACCTCACACTTTACAGCACTCCACTCCAAGAAACTTTTGCTGAAGGCATCAGCTGATATTCGGCCAGTCTTTTAAGTAGAGGACAAACAACAGAATATTCACGGACAGTCATCATAAACATTGATTTGCACAATTTCCTTAAACTTGACAAATTTAGAAACTCACCCTTCCAAAATGGGCTGTTCGTTCATCCAGCACTTTGACAAAGGCCTTAAGTGACATCCCTGCTGCAGCTTCTTAATGTCATAGAAAGACTGAAAGACATCCATTGAAAACAGGGTGCAGAAATTTAAGGTGCCAGGCCAATATCCACCACCCTGGAAGTCCTTAACTGAGGGGGACCACATTAGGCACAGCTGGTGCAGCTCACCACTGGCAGTGCAAGGTTATAACGGCCTTTAGGAAGGATAAGGAGAAATCCAGTCATGGCTCAACAAAGACATTCATTTTTTCCCATGTTGTTTTCAAAGCGGTCTGGTAAATCCAAATGACCTTTGACAGGTGCCCACATATACTGCGGGCCGAGGGTAATTCAAAACAATGTAGCAATGTACAATTTGCAATAAAACCTGCAAACACATCTATTGTGTATGTACTGTGTGACAAAAGAGCAACTTACCATTTATGGTTACAAGAGCCACAATTGCACCGGGTGAAACCTCAACGTTACCTGCTGGGCAGTCACACACAGTCTGGTCTTTGCACAGGCAACAGCCGAACTAACATTAAAAACACACAATATATATAAAAGAATTGGAAATTAAATGATACACAATAAATATACAATAACAGCACACACTCATAGTACATAGCAATAAATGCATAAGACTTAAAAACCGTACATATTGGATTGTGAAACTCTGATGAAGGCTGCAAAAACCCTCCTGTTACTGCCTCTCTGCTGTGCAGGACAAAGCGTGTGTGAACTGCAATATCACAGTCAGCACAAAGGAATGGAAGAGGCAGGCAGTCCAGACACCTCACAACTACTTGTTTGCCACACTGACACACACGGTGTGACTGTGGATCCAGAGTAGCTAACATATTGTCTATAAGACAAGGCCTGGCCTCTTTCCACTTTAGCAAGGACACCATGTTTCTGATCGCCCAGTGAGTAGCAGCTGACTCAGACAACGTCTCACAAGTCATGGCTGCGTCCTCTTCTCCATCCTCCAACAACTGAAGGAGCTCCTGACGAAGCACCTCAGTTCACACACTAACAGAAAAAAAATAAGAAACTCTTCCACAAAGTGAAAAACACTCTAGGCAGTATGTTTCTTAGGACTGCACAAAAGCCCTGCCTAACTCAACTATAACAACAAAATATAAAGTAAAGGAATCACAATATATACAGAAGGTAAAGTACCTTTTGTTGGTTGACCACTGGCAACATAACTAGGTTCTTCACGTGGACACTGATGCTGATCTGCAGACACTGGGGGAAAAAGAGATTGAAGAATATTTACTTACTGAAATTCTTTGGTGAAAACAAGTTGTGAGATAAAATCAATGGTTGTGAGAACACTGACCACGTGGCAACTAGTACTTCGACTGGATGATGGTCTTTGAGGAATAAAATCTCCCTGTCTGTCAAGGGCGGCATCACTTACATTTTGATTAGATACCTTGAGTTTGTAAATGATCAGATTACATAATTGGAATACAATGTATCCAATTCAGGGTTGCAGGAGGATGAAGCCTATCCCAGCTGATACAGGACAAGACAGGCTGCAGTTTATTGCAGGGCTAACACGATATGTGTAACAGAAAATCCATTAAATGTTTGATATTTCTTATAATAATCATAATTTGACTATTATTTAAAGGTTTCTTTAAATAATACATTTTGATTTTTTATACCTCTAAAATATAAACCTGAGCTGTTTCAGATTCTGACCTCTGACCTCACTGCAGCTCCTCTTGGAAGTAGTCTGCTTCTTGTCTACCCCAGTGATGACCGCCTGCCCTTGATATCACTACTGTACCTGAGACAAAAAAGGACAAACACTTGCCTTCATTAAGAAGTACATCATACAGAGGTAATCTATGGAAACACACTAGTTCACCCTTTGGGAGAAATCAGTTCCTGTGAAACATTTCTGTAAATGAACATCATGTGGAGAATGAATGAAATGAGTTCTTCAGGTGACTCAGCAGTCCCACACTGACAAATGAAATCTAGTTAAACTATTAAGCATATTTGCTCTTCTGAAATCTGTGTTAAACAACAACAAACATAAATTAGTAACAAAAATACAGCTGAGTAGAGGCTTTACAAACCACCAGCAGCCATAATGCTAAATTTTAATCTTCAAATGTTTCTGAGCCGTCTTCAACCTGCTTTTAACACATTAAAGTCCCACAGTCAATGCAGCCTGACTCAATCCTAGATGTTCAGCACACAGAGACACAGAGGTGCCGTTTAAAGTTTAGTGATAACCTGAGTCACTGATCATTTGCAGTATTACAGAGTCTGGCAGTCTTTGCATGATGTCCACGTCACTGTGAGTTTCTAGCTGACTCTCAGGTGTGACAGGTGTGCCAGCAGGAAAGAGTAATAATAACCTGCATCCTGAGGTTTGTCATGCAGGATTAAAGCAGCCAGGCTTTGTTCACACAGCTAGGATTGTATTTTACACTGACCCTGGGTCAGTATAAGTATCATACAGTTTAAACGAAGCACTGAAACTTGCACATATTTATTACAGATGCACTGAAGCTAATCGAGATATTTGCTGTCAGTCTGTGGCTGCGATTAAACACTTTACTGGAAACTTTATTAACTAGTAACTTCATCAGTCATGACAGAAGCTAATATTTCTGTGCTAACATCGTTTAAACAGTAACAGCTTTCCTCCAATATAAGCTAACGTTTACACCGTAACTTTAAGCTAGCACCATAAAGACGGTAAAACACGTAATAACATCTACAAATGCATCTTAAAGCTGTTATATTAGCACTCGGTGTATTACTAACATAACCACATTAACATTACTGACACTCGCTGACTTTTAATAGTCATTCTATAAATGCTGTCCGTTTAAATGGTCTTACCTGGTGGTCCATATGGTCCATAAGTGAAGCAGAGGGAGCCTGACCATGCGTCACACGTTTGACGAGTTGGAGTGAGAACGTGTTGGGCTATAAGGAACACACTCACTTCCTGAGCCCTGGCAATAAGAGACGTTTTGTGTTTTATGATTTATTGATATGTTGATCCTTTCTGACCTGCGTTAATGAAGCAGTCATTAGAGCACCATGTCCGCTAGAATAGTTCTGTAGTTTGATGCTTGAGTCGTTGCAGACTTGTTGAAACTCCCTCACCCGTCAAAGCAGCGTCTTGTTATTCGAGTCCAGCAGATGGCAGTGTTTCACTGTCTGACGGCTGTCTGAAGCTTCAGCTGGATTATCCGTTTCATGTTTGATTAGAGGTTTGTGTGTGTGTGTGGTGTGTGTGTGGGGGGGGGGGGGGGGGGGGGTTTAGCCACGAGTTGTCCACGATAAAGCATATTGAATGGCCTGTCTAATATTGTTAGAATTCTCCTTTGGGTTAGTTTCATTACTCAATCGGGACATTTATTTGGAAAAAGAAAAAAAGAGGGAAAAAAGAAAAAAGAAAAAGAATTAAAAATAAATCCTCATAGTTTACATTTACAAATATCAATACTGAATGTTACGTCCCTCTGCAGCTTCTAATCGTCTCAGTGTTTTCAGCTGGTGCTAATTGGCCACACCTAGTCAGGTGTGGATAAAAGCATACCTGAGGCAAGCTTCCCGGCAGTGCACTAGTCTTTGCCTTGGTGGCACCAGCCATTTTAGCCAACCTGGTTTGCCATTTTAGGATGAAACCTCTTCTCACCCACACTCTGTTATTCATCTGTTTTATGTTGCGGCTTTTGAGCCGGGTCGTAACATGAGTATAATCACACTGGAAGTACCAGCATCAGGAATGTGGTTTCTTCTTTTTGGATCTATAATATTTAGTCTGGTTAGTTATTGTTACTGTAACCAGTGCAAAATCTGCTCTGATGACTCAACGTTAATGTTTGAGCCCTGAGCGCTAAAAGAAGTGTTTTGTAAAGTATTAAAACTACCTTTAATGGAAGGAAAAATGGATCACTGCTTCCTATAGAGTTGGTTTTCTCTGTGTGTGTAGCCACTCTGTGCCTGGTGGACTTGGCTGGCAGTGAGCGAATGGTGAAGAGCCAGTCTCAGGGTGACCGTTTCAAAGAGATGACCGCCATCAACAGCTCACTGTCCAACCTGGGCGTCGTTATCGCCGCTCTGGCCAAAAAGGTCTGCAGCTGCAGTTTCTGTAGTCTTAGATGTCACACCTGCTTTCTTTACATTTACAGTATTAATGATTTTTTTGGCCTTTGTGTTCCAGGAGACTTACGTAGCTTACAGGAACTCGAAGCTCACGTACCTCCTTCAGGGATGTTTGGGGGGAAACGGCAAAACGTGAGTTTTGTTGACATCACAAATCTTATAATGAGACACATAAAACTGAAGGAATTTATCCCCAAAAATATTTAACAGCGTTTGATCTCATCACTTCAGATTGTGACTGTTTATTCTTTGGCACTAATTTTGGATGTCTTTATTTGCAGCTTGATGTTTGTTAACATTGCTCCGGAGCCGACAGCTTTGGGGAAACTCTGAACTCATTGAGGTTTGCCAGCAAGGTCAGTGCAGTCTTGTTTCCAGTGTTCATTGGACAGAGTACATTAATGATGTCCTTACATCAGCTGTTATGGTAAACCAAAGCCATACTCCATATCCATTTTAATACCTTGGTGTGTAATTCATACTCACACTTTGTCTGAAGAGTAGGGATGTTCCTGGCGTCTTATTTACTAGTCGACTAATCGAGGGGAAATAATTAGACTAACCAACTAATGTAAAACTAAGGAACATTCAGATATTGAGTTGATTTTCAGAACTGATTAATAGAAACTGTCAAACTAGACGCAAGGATCTTAAACCATTTATCACATTCTGTTAAATACAAATGAAAATGCATTACTACAAAAGATGTTCTATTAAAATATGACAATCATTTGAGAATCTAAAAGTACGTCTAAGTGTGGCGAGAATGATTCAGGTAATACATTATACAGCCGTTTTCTAGTCAGGTTGTGGGGCAGCAGGAAGGACTACTCCTGACCACAGCTGATAGATGTAAACTGGCTAGCATGACCAAGGATGCTGGGGCCTCCTACTGGTAGGACGTGCCCAGCTGGAACAGCCTCCTGGCCAAGGTGGCTGTCACCTTTTGATGTGAAGGAGTAGTGACTCTACTCTGAGCCCCTCCCCCATTGACTTAACTGCTCTCCTAAAGGAGAGGTTTCCACCTCTCAGGAACTAATTTCCTCTGCGTGTATCTGCGATCTCAGTGTTAACAAGAAGATCAGGGTAGATTAATAGATTTATGGCGTTTCTCAACAACAGTGCACCATCTGGTGGTAGATCGCTGCCTAACATTTAGAACACAATGTACCAGCATTGGGCATCAAAAATGTTAACAATTAGATTGAACGACTGGTAAGTCTGATACAGACTAGTCACATAAATCCTGATAGAGCCCACAGAAGGGCCTGCACCATGTGTGTGGCTGCTTTGCAGTTTAACCACCAAACACTCGTCTGCAGTGGAATTTCTTGAGCTAATCGATTCATTTATTTCATTTCTTCTTCTAATTAATGTGGAAAATGGTGGCAAAGGTGGCTGAAATGAGTGATTCCTAGAGTTACATGTCAGTTTACAGCATAGGGATTAAGTTTACAGTATAAATACCACTGAATTGTACAAGGATTTGAAGTTTCACTGTAACTTTAACATTTTTGACAATTTTGTTTTGTTTTCTCCCCCACAGGTGAACGACTGCGTCATCAGGACAGCGACTGCCAACAAAAAGTAGAATTATTAAAAAAAAAACCTGAGTTTTCTACTTTTAGGTTCATCTCAGGTTTCCACGCTGAGTTGGTCATGACAGTTGCCATGTGTGATGGCATGCCACACATGGTAAGCTCCACACCTCACCACCCGTTGATTCACTTTAGTTTAATTTACAGTCACTACTTTAAAATATTCCATTTATTGTTCAATATCGTTTCTTTATTAAATGTATTCATTTTTCCATCACACCTTCCAATGTTGATATGGCGTGCACACATATTAACCTTGCAAGGTCAAAGCTCTGTTTTATGTTATTAAACATCTTTGTTTGAGTTACCTGGGGGTTGTGTCTCCTCCTGTCTGGCAAAGGGCTGGGAGACCTGAAGTACTACTGACAGCCTAATTGGATTGCACCACATGCAGGTGAACGACTGCGTCATCAGGACAACAAAGTAGAAATTATTAAAAGAGTAACTTTTATATATGTGCGTTTAAAGCAGGGTGTCAGTTTTTTTGGGGTTTTTCCACATATGTTGGATTATGTTTCTATATATATACTTTGTAAAGGGTATTTTAAATTAATGAAAATGAATAAATATGATTGTTTCTTTTACCTGTTTCGATGTCTGCCATATCATTAGTATGTTTCGTGGGAATTAAATGTTTATTTAACATGTACGCTATTACATTTACTCTAAAAATAAAACCAAATTTAAAGGCTGTTGCATTTTATTGCCTTTTTTCTTTCCTTTTCTTAAAGTTATGAAGGCATCTTGGATGCCATTTCAGTGAGTGGGGTTAATGCCCCACACTCTTTTCTGTCACTGCTTTGAATGCACAGACTGGTCTTAATGTTGATCTTGTAATCTTCAGTGTTACGACCCGGCTCAAAGCCGCAACATAAAAACAGAGATGAATAGCAGAGTGGGGTGAGAAGAGGTTTCATCCTAAAATGGAAAACCAGGTTGGCTAAAATGGCTGGCCACCAAAGCAAAGACTAGTGCACTGCCGGGAAGCTTGCCTCAGGTATGCTTTTATCCACACCTGACTAGGTGTGGCCAATTAGCACCAGCTGAAAACACTGAGACGATTAGAAGCTGCAGAGGGACGTAAACCTCCTCCCTTAAAAGGGTTCCTCTAGGACCCAACAAAAAGAGCACAACAATCAAACCCAAAATGATTACCTGACCTGCTACAACACAAAAACCAAAAGTACACTAAAAACAACAAATCCCTTACTTTCCCTACCCTAGTCTTCAGTGGTACCAGGCTCGAGGCAACTTTAAACGCGAACTCGAGAGCAGGCAGCAGACCAGAGATATAGTCTCCTACCAAACTCTGAAGCGTACCCCCACCCAGGATAGCCACCAAACACAAACTAAAACAATAAAGCAAAACAACAAACAAGTGCTTCGATGGAAGGGCAGCACAGTCACCCAGCTGAAACACACTAAAGGGAGTTTGCTCAATTACACTGAACACCATCACTCACCCACTTAAAAGCAAAACAAACTGACAAGTCTCCACTAAAATGTCCAAAGATCCCGGACGAGCCACCACTTATGTTATGTATAGTGTGATTGGCCATCTGAACATGCTACCTATATAAATCCCAGCAGGAAGCATGTTTTAATAGTGTGATTTGGCCATCTGAACACGCTACCTATATAAATCCCAGCAGGAAGCATGTTTTAATAGTGTGATTGGGTCATCTGAACACGCTACCTATATAATCCCAGCAGGAAGCATGTTTTAATAGTGTGATTGGGTCATCTGAACACGCTACCTATATAAATCCCAGCAGGAAGCATGTTTTAATAGTGTGATTGGGTCATCTGAACACGCTACCTATATAAATCCCAGCAGGAAGCATGTTTTAATAGTGTGATTTGGCCATCTGAACACGCTACCTATATAAATCCCAGCAGGAAGCATGTTTTAATAGTGTGATTGGGTCATCTGAACACGCTACCTATATAAATCCCAGCAGGAAGCATGTTTTAATAGTGTGATTGGGCCATCTGAACACCCTACCTATATAAATCCAAGCAGGAAGCATGTTTTAATAGTGTGATTGGGTCATCTGAACACGCTACCTATATAAATCCCAGCAGGAAGCATGTTTTAATAGTGTGATTGGGCCATCTGAACACCCTACCTATATAAATCCAAGCAGGAAGCATGTTTTAATAGTGTGATTTGGCCATCTGAACACGCTACCTATATAAATCCCAGCAGGAAGCATGTTTTAATAGTGTGATTGGGTCATCTGAACACGCTACCTATATAATCCCAGCAGGAAGCATGTTTTAATAGTGTGATTTGGCCATCTGAACACCCTACCTATATAAATCCAAGCAGGAAGCATGTTTTAATAGTGTGATTGGGTCATCTGAACATGCTACCTATATAAATCCCAGCAGGAAGCATGTTTTAATAGTGTGATTGGGCCATCTGAACACCCTACCTATATAAATCCAAGCAGGAAGCATGTTTTAGTGTGATTGGGTCATCTGAACATGCTACCTATATAAATCCCAGCAGGAAGCATGTTTTAATAGTGTGATTGGGCCATCTGAACACCCTACCTATATAAATCCAAGCAGGAAGCATGTTTTAATAGTGTGATTTGGCCATCTGAACACGCTACCTATATAATCCCAGCAGGAAGCATGTTTTAATAGTGTGATTGGGTCATCTGAACACGCTACCTATATAAATCCCAGCAGGAAGCATGTTTTAATAGTGTGATTTGGCCATCTGAACACCCTACCTATATAAATCCAAGCAGGAAGCATGTTTTAATAGTGTGATTTGGCCATCTGAACATGCTACCTATATAAATCCCAGCAGGAAGCATGTTTTAATAGTGTGATTGGGCCATCTGAACACCCTACCTATATAAATCCAAGCAGGAAGCATGTTTTAATAGTGTGATTTGGCCATCTGAACATGCTACCTATATAAATCCCAGCAGGAAGCATGTTTTAATAGTGTGATTGGGTCATCTGAACACCCTACCTATATAAATCCAAGCAGGAAGCATGTTTTAATAGTGTGATTGGGCCATCTGAACACCCTACCTATATAAATCCAAGCAGGAAGCATGTTTTAATAGTGTGATTGGGCCATCTGAACATGCTACCTATATAAATCCCAGCAGGAAGCATGTTTTAATAGTGTGATTGGGTCATCTGAACACCCTACCTATATAAATCCAAGCAGGAAGCATGTTTTAATAGTGTGATTGGGCCATCTGAACATGCTACCTATATAAATCCCAGCAGGAAGCATGTTTTAATAGTGTGATTGGGTCATCTGAACACCCTACCTATATAAATCCAAGCAGGAAGCATGTTTTAATAGTGTGATTGGGTCATCTGAACATGCTACCTATATAAATCCCAGCAGGAAGCATGTTTTAATAGTGTGATTGGGTCATCTGAACACCCTACCTATATAAATCCCAGCAGGAAGCATGTTTTAATAGTGTGATTTGGCCATCTGAACACCCTACCTATATAAATCCCAGCAGGAAGCATGTTTTAATAGTGTGATTGGGT